CCTATCAGCTGAAAGTCTGAAATCAAAGCAAGGGCAAAAATCCTTGCCAAGTTACCTCAAGTATCGATATTTGGGTAAGGATTTCAACCTTCCTGTTATTATTCCTTCTTCACTAACATCAAAACAGGAAGAGTACTTGCTTGAGGCGCTGCAATACCACCTACGCCTCACTATAGGGTCCAACATGCCAGCTAAGAAGGTCATACCGAATTTTCGCACACCTGGCCCTGCAGAGGTGACTCATATGTTGGATGGAGGGTATGCGTTCTATCATTGCTCGGGAGGGTATTCTGGATACCTTTCCATACCCATTGGTTGAAAGCTCCATGAACTTCAGGCTGAGGACGTTAAACAAGCGCTTCTTGGGAGGCAACCCAAGGTAAGTTTTCTTTTCTTTATTTTTCTTTTTAGTTGTGTCAAACCCGTGCATGTTTAGATTAGGAGTCGAACATTAGGGACAATGTTCCATCCTGAGTGTGGGGTGGCGAGTCTTAGTGTTTGTTTGTTCCTTTTGTCATGTGGTCGGTAAAAAAAAACAAAAGAAAAAATTTGCCATTAGGTTGAGCACAGCCAAACTGCATGCAGTTTGCCTGTGTAAAAAGCAGGCTGCCTGTGCAAAGCTAATTGCTAAAAAACACCTAAAAATAAAAAAAAATTAAAAACAAAACTTTGTACTCTTGTGGTAACATGAAGTAAATGACTGTGATGCGTGTGAAATGAGTTTGTGCTTGAATGAAATCATCGAAATCACCCCACAAGTGTTGAATTGCATGGTTCTTCACAATGAGCTTGATGTTTTGACTGACTTGATGTGCTTTGAATTAGCAAACTCTTTTAGCAACATTCTATTTTGTGAGGATAGTGTAATGACTTTTGGTGAAGTAGTTAGGTGGAGAACATTGACCATTCGACATGTTTGGATACCGTGCTTACTTGCATCAGTTGTGAGCTTTTGATTTTGCAACGAGTCTCTCTGTTTTGAAGGTTTTATGATGGGGTGAACTGTATCTTTATAAAAGAAAACACTACCTGACAAGTAAAATATAAGAAAGTTGCCATAACAATTAAAGTGTGGGTAAAAATGCCAATTAAGAATCGGTTTGCGACCGTACGATGTTGCTTATCAAGTACGATCCCCAGTTGAGTGAAGTGCCATTAGAGGATGAACAATGACCCTCCACACGGACCGAGGAAAAGGAGTTGAAAGAAGCCCTTATGCGAGTGCTAAGAAGCATAAATTGCTCTTGCTCGGTCACCGGTAGTAAGAAACAAATCCCACTTGTACTAAACACGACCACTCGGCAAGCAAAACCAGAAAGAGATCTCCTTGTCAAAAAAGGTAGTGATGTGCTTAAATTTAAAATCTAGTTTGCGAAAAGCTTCCCCCATTTGTTTTTTAGACTCATGCTTAGTTAACTGCTTATGATTGGTGTGAGTTAGCCAGATTGTCCTCACGAGATATGCACCTCACTGATGTGGTTAGATTCTCCTAATAATTGTTGCACCATAAGTTGTTAATCACCCACTACCGACGATCGTAATTGAGTGTTGCTATTTGAGTTTTTGATGAATTTGAGTCAGTCATTGGTAATGGTTGCAAAGACCTTGAGTGTGGGGTGAAAGGTATGATCATTAAAGAACAACTTGTCCTTTGAGAAAGAAACAACTGATTACAACAAGAGTACAAGGGTAAATTTCTAGTGTTGATGTTGTGTTTTGTGTGTCATGGATTTTTGTGTGAGCATGGTTGTGTCTCCCTGGTCTGTGTTGTGTTTCCTCCAATTATCGGTTTCTTGTCTGAGCCATTGCTTAGGAACAAGCAAGTATTGAGTGTGGGGTTGTGATAATTGTCGAGAACATATTGATTTTGTGTGCTTAATGTGCTTACTTCATGATATGTTTGAGATATATAATGCTTGTTTTAGGGCTAATTGAGTATGGAATGGTTGAAAAGCCATTACCGTCTTGTGTTCGAGTTTATTTTTTTATGTTTTAGATGAAAAAATAAGAAGAACAGAAGCAGCACAGGCAGGACAGTAGCATTCGAAGGAAGCAGCTGGACCGGGTTTCACTTTAGCCTAGCGACCAAAGAATAGAACAAGCAGGCTGGGCCTTCTTCACTGGCCTAATTGAGGAAGGAATTAAAAGGCCTGGCTTTTTTGTCTCTTTACTGGGGCGGAAACAGAAATTGGACAAGGAGATTCTAATTGGGACGGAAGTAGGGAGCAATTTTGCTGGGCGAGAGACTTTGGGGAAAGAGGGATTTCTCTTTTGGGGAATTAATCAAAGGGCGGAGAGGAATTTCTTTTTGGGGGGATTTTATTGGATGCGCGAAATGGAGAAGCAGCACAGCTCGTAGCAGTTGGGGAATGCAAGCAGCAAACAGAATTTGTTCCAAGAGCTGGGCGATAGCGAGAGTTTGACCAGCATCACAGCTTGAGTTATCGAGTATTTTGTTCCTTCTCTTTTCATTAGTTTTATGAGGATAACGAACATGGCTATATCTTTTGATTTCATCATGAACTAAACCCCGATTTCTGGGGGAAACACCATAGGATGCAACTAATTCTATATTTGATGGATTGATTCATGATTCTTTTCTTCCAATCTCTATTGCATGAAATTACTTAATGCTTTGTGTTGACTGGCCACCAATACATCGATTTGTAGTTAATTAGGTTATTAGCGACAGTGAAACCCTAATAACTGAACATATTTCATGTGACATAGTAACTTATCGAAGCGACAGTGGACTAAATAAGGTGCTATGCGGTCTTGATTGGGATATCGGTCTTCAGACTAAATAATTAACTCATTGAGCTACGACAGTAGGATTTGATTTAACTTTTTAGTACGTAGTAATTCCCGACAGAGATAGCTAGCACGGTAGTGATATTCTGGCTATAGAGATATGGATTAAATTGATTGGAATATGTGAATTAATCTGGATAGGATAGGTAGTGAGTCCCGGTGTTTCTCCCAGAGCTTTCTCCCATTGAATTTCTCCCGACAAGTTTACTTTGCTTAATTAGTTTTATTATTTTGCTATTAGTTAATAATCTCATCAACCAAACCATTTTTCACTTATAGTTTGCTCCATAGAATTAATAAATCATAAGGTTGTACCAGTCCCTGAGAGACGATACCCGGACTTTCCGGTTTACTACGAGAGAGGAAATTGGCATATACGCTTTTTCCCTATCATCCACCTAAATGAAAATGTGGTGGAAGAATTTGCAAGAGATATTAAGTTTCCCACCTAAATGTAAAATAATATGCATTTGAAATAGGATAATTCATTACATGTCCTCAAATCTACTATATCAAATTAGTCATGCCTTCTAAGACTAGTAAGCTTTCCTATAGACAATATTCTAGCACTAAACTCATAAATCATCATATTTAAACATTGTGATCATTAAATTGATAATTAATTAAACTCCTAAACCATCATATGTAAACATTTTGATAAGCTTTCTCTCCTTTCTCTTCTAAAAAAAAATCGAAAACACAAAAAAAAATTCCCTTATTTTTCTTTCCATAACTAAACATGGATTTCTCACCTCTTTCCCTAACTATAAATCAAAAGCACCAATCATGTATTATGGTGTTGCCTAAAATTTTTCTTAGTACTCGCTTTCAATCGAAGAGAAAGCAACATCAATCCTTTGAGCCACTACAACCTCATTACATCATACATATTTTACAACATGACATTATCCATTCTCAATATTTCTCTTAAATCTTAATGCTTATCTTACTATGTTTGACAAATATATCGTCGTACTACTAGAGTCTCGGGCCGCATTTCATTAGAAAATGAGATACCATAAAAAAATATAACATCCATATTTTTTTACAATCTCGATTGTACACGACAGTCTTTTAATTTAGCGAATTCATCAATAATGCAGTCTACATATATACTAATAGCATATTCTCTTTCAAATAAAACAGTAGCTATCAATGAGAAATTTATCACTCATTTTGTTGCGCAAATAAGTTTTCATATGTTTCATTGTTGAAAAAGTTATTCTGTAATAGTCATTGAAGCGCGCAACGTCAATACTAGACAAATCAATCCACTTATCAATTTTTTATATTGTGTGTCCGTCTCTGTTTCAACTAGCCGCTCTAGTAATTTTTTAGAGAACAAACCTCATATGTCTTTTAGTCTTTTACGTTTTAGACTTTTAGAATGATATGTTTCATTGTTTATTTATTTTTAATGAAAATTTAGACTTTTAAAATCCAGGTTTAGTTATATGAACCAATCCAATTTGATAACAAAATTGAATTTTTTTCCATCATTGTTCATATTGCACTCTGGTGATTAATAATATACGAAAACTTATCACGATTAGCTTTACATTACCAAAAAAGAAAATTTAACCATTTAACAGATAAAACAATATTTTGAGATGATATTTATTAAAATCTCATGATCGGTATAAAATTTTAGTCCGATTATGAGAGTATGAGTTATCAAATCAAAAAAATTAGGAGGGGAAACTCCCTCCATTCTTCCCCACATTTTTCGTTTTTACCTAACAGTCAAGGAGGGAAAATTTCCCACAAAAAATTTCACTCCAAAATTTGTTATCTCTATTTATGCTCTTCATTCATTCGAGAGCTCGATACTTTTATTCCTATCCCCTTTTGCTTTGTTCATCTGCTTATTCCAAAACCAGAGTATCAACTCCAGTCTACCGTCTTAGGTGAATCTTCTCTATACATCCATTATCCCCCCTCTATTTTCTTCGAAACCATCTTCCCCAACCCCAATCAAACTTCCTCCGGCAAACCACACCTCCACACCACTTCAGGTCGTGCTTCCGACAAGACAACTAAGCTCGATGTCTGTACCATCTTTCCTCCCTATAAACATCAAGAGTAACCATTAAATCTATCGATAAATTCAACTTCGGTCATATTGATCCAAAAAATCCCTAAATCTTCTAAGTTCTAACCCATCGTAGAGTCAAATCTAAAGTAAAGAGATGGATCCAAAAGGGATGAGGAAAGTTTTAAATACAGACAAAGACAATGCAAACCACTCTGGATGGCATCTCTGGCCCTCAAATCCACCTATAGGGCATCGACTTCGAATCGACAAAGAAGGGAAAAAGAGCAGTGGTCCGTTCGGATTCTCTTTCACGATGGAGTTCTGGTTCCGGCAGTCGCTGAAGCTGATGTTCAAAATGGTAGACCAAAGCAGGATTCAGATTCTTACTCTACTTAAGATCCATACTCTGCCACTAGCGAAGGATGAGGCCGACCTGAGAAAATAGGATTTTCTAGAGGCCAGAGCGGTGGTAGCCATTGATAGACAGATCAAAGAAGAAGATATTTTGTCTTCCCTTCACCGAAACGAGTGGACACCAAAATAAATAAAGGGAAATTTTAATGCAATAAAATAATAAATACCCATAGGGCCACAACAAGTTTTCAGTTGAGTACTTACTAGACAAATGGTTAGCATATTGCCCCATAAACCCTACTATATATTAATACGATTGTTAAAAACATATTATTAACTACTGTACTTAGTAGAGTGGTGAATAAGTTATTTATCAACTAACGTATTTGCTATGGTGGTGAAGTAGGTTTTCCTGTAGTGATACCAATTCAAAAATAAAAAAATAGTAGATGTGGAGTAATTATTTGGATATAAGAAGTGTGGATAGTTACCAAAATATGTTGCCAAAGGTCCAAAATAGCTCATGTGAACAACTCATCTAAAAGATTCCTATAAATTATTTGTAAACAAATGACTTATCTCATTAAATCACTCATCCAATCCACCCCATATGGGGAGAACAAAACAACAAATAAAACGAAAACAACACATTCCAATATAATTTGGTCATTTTCAAATTCCATCGAATTCCTTCGCCTATGGAACAATCATGTATGTGTCATAATACATTCGGGTCAAGCGGGCGAGTTCGGGTTGATTTTGGATGGGTTAGTCGGGTTACGGGTTAGTCGGGTCACGGTTTGATATGGTTGCGGGTTAGTCGGGTCACGGTTTGATATGGTTGCGGGTTGGTCGGGTTGCAGGCTAGTCAAGTTGCGGGTCAATCGGGTTGTGGGTTGATCGGGTTACGGGTCGGTCGGGTTATTGGTTGTTGACTTTTAGTCAAATCGGGTTATGGGCGGGTTACGGGTTGGGTTGATCAGTCGGGTTACTCGGGTCGGGTTAGGTTTTGACACCTATACCAGTAGGTTCAAAATACCCGACCGCGTATTTGACCAGCTGATGGGGTATTTTTGGCAACAGTAGAAGGCCCCCCGGTCGTGAACACAAAAAACCCGACCGAGTACCCAAAATACCCGACCGGGTATTTTCCCTTTTGCCCAGAAAAATGAATCGGAGCATTTTGTTGATACCCGATCGGTTCCCTAAATACCCGACCGGTATTTGGACCGGGTTTCGCGAACACATGCTGTTAAAAGCCTGTTTTGTGCATTTTTGGAGGGAGAGAGCTAGGTTTTGGTTCCCAAACACCCAAGGGACAAACCAAAGAGAGAGAGGGCGATTTGAGGGCGATCTTGGAGCAATCTTAGAGGATTTCTTCGCCTTGGTAGCTCGAGGAACAAGCCTGGACTTGAAGACTAATCATCTGAAGATTCTTACTGCAGTCTCTCTCTTCTCTATGGAGTAACTTCCCTTAACTTAGTTTTTGAGGAACCCTAGCCATGTTTGTTTGATTGGATGATTGTATAAGTACTTTTACTTGATAATCTTGAGTTCATATTCAATCTATGCATGTTTTTATGATTCAATTTTGCTTTAGTCGAGATTATTGATTATGCTTTGATCCTATGAGAATGAATACATTATTAGGTCAATAGAGCACCATAGATTGATAGCGTTGGATCGATTGCTTTAGTCATGGGTTGATTCACTTCTTTGTATCATTTGGCAACCTCATTCGATAGAGAGAATCTAGTTCTGAATGGCTTGATCGGTTGTTCTGGAGAAGAATACGTCCCTCTAGGCAATTGACTCAAGAGGGCCTTGTTCCTTTATTCGAGACTCAAGGTCTAGTTAAGGATTCTCCGCATTGTGAATGAAAGTGAAACATGTTAGAGATCATGAATCATTAATCTGGCTAGTGGCTAGGGGGAATCACACCTAAGTGAGTTCCCAACCTGTAATTAGATTAACTTTAAATTTAGTTTGCTAGAGTAGTTTTTGTTGTTCTATCTTAATCTGGTTTGCTAGATAATGAACTGAGGCTGAGTAATAGTAACTCTAGAGACCCGTGGATTCGATATTTATTACTTGAGCCACTATAATGCAGACACTTTCATTGGTTACACTTGGCCTTTGTTAGGAGTTGTGTTGTAGCGAGTCATCATCTACCTCTCTTGGGTAGAAGGTCACTGCTCATCGTCTGAAAGGACAACCTAGCGTTGAGAAATCCGCTCCAACTAATAGTTGGATGGATCGAGCCGTGTGTTTACTCGAGTTGGACTATGGATGATGATTTTGCTGATGGTGGTGGTGGTGGTGTAGCATGCCGGCGGCGGCCGGGAGCTCGGGTAGTCGGCTGCTCGGGAGGAGGGACCTCTGGAGGTATGGGAAAGCCCTCAATTTAACGAAAGAGGCCGTAGAATCGGAGCAAGTCCATGGCAGCCAGGGTGTCCTCGCAAAACCTGGTGGTTCGGTCCTCCTTTATGCATCCACTCAGATCAACATTGAAGTGCCGTGCATGCCTGGTGATGTATGGTCCCATGTATAGGACTTTGTTTCTCTCGTTGCCAATGGTTTTCCCGAAATAGCTTGCAAGAACGAACCCAAGATGGAGGTTGTCGTCTATGCTCCCCATGGAGTTGAGTAGTAAAAGAGCTCTCTTGGTAACCTTGTTCACCGACTTGAGACTAGGGAGGATAGAATTAGCAAGGACAGCATTGAGGATCTGCCATTGGCGCTTGAGAGTGGTGGCCTTGGTGTCGCGAGGACGGTAACGAGTTCTCCAATGCCAAGGAAGGCAAATGTTCTTAGAAGCAGCTTTGCAGTTGAAATCCCGAAGGAGATCCAGTTCCAACTCCAACCTTGGTGGGTCATCAATCCCAAGAGCTCGGGAGAGCTCATCAAAGCTCATGTGTCAGTGCTCTCCCCACAGAGAGAAATCACAATGAGACTCGCGGCCCCCAGTTGAGTTCTTATGCTGGGCGAAGGTGTAAGTTCTGTAGAACACGATGCATAACACTGCGTAGATGTCATCCTCAATTTCTAAGAGTCGACGCCACCAGTAGTGCACCACATCCTCTCGAATTAAATCTCCACAGTTTAGAGAATCAAATTGCTAGATATCGAGCTTCCAATGATCACCCAAAGGAGCCTTCATCCAGAATCGGAAACTACTCCAGAAGTGGGGGGGGGGGGGGAGTTCGGCCACCTTTAGAAAGAAGGGGTGGTTCTCATCAAACATCCTGCAAAACTTCCAAGACATACACCATACGTGGAAACATTCATCAATCTCAATTCATTGGGGAGGAAAGAATTCCCCACACTTAGAATTCCACTAAAGTCATATGCCTTGGAAGGCTTTGTCACAATAACGGATTTCAACTATTTAAGCCCAACCACGTTTAAAACTCATCAAGACATGGTTTTAGGTGATTCATGATTTATCAAAAGAACAATATCAAACCCCAACCATGCCTTGATGGCCACCAACCACCATTCACAAAAGTGGATTCATCTCAACATTCAACACAATGCACTTGGTGGACAATTTGCTCAATTTACCACAATTCATGCAAACCAAGCCCACTAAGGCTCAATCAAGTCCACATGCACATCATACACCATTCAAACTATCCTACTCGACCAACCCCTTGCCTAGTTTCAACCATTAAAGCAAGATTAAACGGATTCTCCTCACCTAAGAACTCTAACCCAATTCTCCAAAAATGGCAAAGTAAAGGCTTGAAACAGACCTGGAGACGCAAGTAGGGTCAAAGAGGAAGGTGAGGAGGAGGCGAGGGTTTCTAAAAATTCCAGAAAACAGGCCGGAGATGCTTGCCGAAAATCGCCCACCTTGGAAAAAGTTTGAGTCGAATTGGCTCAAAACTTTGGCGAAGGTGCGCCCGGGAGTGGGGATTCTAGGTCTGTGCTTGGTTTGAAAATTGGTGGTCGGAAGTAAAAAAAAACAGAGGAATATCACGGTTTCCCACAAGTTTTAGAGGATTCCGGCAATGGGGGTGGCTTGATGTGAAAAAGAAGGGTTCACGCCCTTATATAGCCCGAGCTCGAGGTTCACGGAGGGAGGATTCTGTCCTCGAACATAAATCCCAGACCGTGATCTCGGGCCAAAATGGTGCATTTCAAATTTTCTGTAACTTTCCTCGTTCATGGTCTCCACCCTATTATCATGATCATCACGGTCGCAATAATGGGGCTAAAACCGTGAACTGAGTAAAAACATGGCATTTCCAAAATTCCAAAACTCGACCTAATCAACCGTGCCCCTAATTCAAACACACGCAAAACCCAATCAAACAGAATCAACATGCTGGCACAAGGTGATAACCAATCATCCACGTGAACTCTTTACTAAATCACAAAAAGAGAAAATAAGGAAAAGAAAACAAACTGACGTTGGGTTGCCCCCCAACAACGCTAGTTTAACGTTACTAGCTCAACGATGCGGATCTATCATGCTTGAGAGCACGAGGCCACCAAGAGTGGATCCACCACGATCTCGGGGTGAGGTTTGTCACCTCTCAACTTAAGCTTCATAGGATGGCCCTCTTGGACATTTACCTTCGCTTGGCCCTTATCCTTCTTTAGGACATACGCGAGATTCATCTTTTCTCTCCATGATCCATTTTTTCTTCCTTCGGGTTTGATTACCTCCTCAATTTCCTGTTTCGCGCCACCACAAGGAACAAGAGTAATAGTGGAGTTCGCCTTAAGAGTCTCACCATCACTTCCAATCATACCACTCGAGTCCATTTCGTTCACATCATCATTCTTAGCCTTAGGATCAATTGAAAGAGTGAGTTTCTCCTCTCCTTCTCTCAAAATCAGAGTTCCCTCATTAACATCGATTAAGGCCTTGGCGATGTAAAGGAAGTGGCGCCCTAGTATGAGTGGCATATCCGAATCTTCACTGATATCAAGGATAAAAAAATCCTTCGGATAGTAGAATTTGCCAACTCTCTCACTAGGAGGTCCTCCACAATACCTCTAGGACTAATGACAGAGCAATCGGCCAATGTGACACTGAGCCTAGTAGTTTTTAATTCACCTAAATGCAACTTTGTAGAAATC